AGTAGACTTTTACTGAAGATCTGAGATCAAGAATGGTGAGGTTTACAACAAGGTGAGTACTGGGTATCCTGTTCTTAAATGTCCCTTGCCCATTTCTGCCTCAAAAAAGTCCTCATTGGCAAATACCCCTATCCCAGGACCATTGTGCTCCATTTTTTTTCTTTTGCCTTCCCCTTTTCTACCTGGTACCCACAAACTCCCTCCCCAGTTCCTATTATACTTGTGTATCAATAACAATGAACATAGATTAAATGTTTACTTTGTACCAGGTAGTATAAGTTCTTTATGTGTATTCTTTCATTTAGTAGACATTTTCTCTTCCTTCATCTTGCTCCAGGTATTTCAGGTCCAAGGCCTTGAAACTTAATCTTTTTATTCACTCAACATTTTTTTTTTTTTTGCAGGGTACTAGCTCATAAGGCTTTGGTAACAAAACAGGTCTCTGCCCTCATGGACCTCCATATGTGAAGAGCTGATCTTGCCAAATAAAATAATTTTATCTTTGAGAGCATTGCCAGTTTTTATAGCAACCATTTCTCCACTTGCTGTAGTAGAAGAGAACAGATAACAGTATAAGGCAAAAATATAAAAGAAGTCACACAACAGAACGTGATTGGCACATGGGAAGGGCAGAAAGTATAAAATACTTTTTGAGTTTAGGAACTGATGAGATGACTTGGGGTAAATGGTAGACTTTGAGATTGGAGTAAGAGAGAAAAGACAGGCAGGAAGGGCTAGAAGAGCATGGAATTGCAATCAGTGGTTACAGAGCAAGGCCTTTTGAGGGAGACCCTGGTCTCAAATCCCAGCTCTGTCACTTACTTTGTGACGCTAAGGAAAGTACTTAATTCTAAGCCTGTCTTTCCTCCTTTAGAAAACTAGGATAATAGTAGTTCCTCAAAGAGTTACATGGATTAAATGAGGTAGGGAGACAAAAAAAAAATGTAAAACTCCTTAGGCAATGCCAAGAACATAAACAATCACCAAGCAAATGTTTTCGTATAAAGGAACAAAGGCTTTACACTCTAATTACTTCCAGAAAGAATAATTTTGAAATACCAATTATACAATGTGTTTTTTTTCACATACATTATACATTTTTCTAGTAACTTTTAAGGTAGAGATAATTATCATCATCTTTGTTATACAGAAATGGAATTTGAGGCTCAGAAAGATGAGAACTCCCACATGGTAGGGCACAATGTAATACCAGTGTCTGAGGAGTCTGAGGCAGGAGGATTGCAAGTTCAAGGCCAGTCTCAGCCACTTAGAGAGACCTCAGCAACTCGGTGAGCTCTTGTCTCAAAAGAAACAACAACAACAACAAAAGGACTGGGGATGTAACTCAAAGGTAAAGTTAAAAAAAAAAAAAAAAACTCCCTCATGTCTTGAAAAGGTCTCTGTCCAGGACTTTGTATCTACCTCTTGTGGTTCCTAATCTTTCTATTCCTGTTTTAAAAGTCAATTACACTCTTTGGATGCAGGGCACATACTGGTAATCCCAGCCGCTTGAGAAGCTGAGGCAAGAGGGTCACCAGTTCAAAACCAGCCTTAGCAATTTAGCAAGGCCCTAAGCAACTTGCAAGAACCTATCTCAAAAAAAATAACAACAATAAATTGGAAGAGTGCTTGCATCGTATACAAGGCCCAGGGTTCAATACTCTCCACCACAAAAAAATAAAAAGGAACTGCACTGCACCCATAATCCCAGCGGCTCCGGCTGCTCTGGAGGCTGAGGCAGGAGGATCGCAAGTTCAAAGTCAGCCTCAGCAACTTAGTGACTTAGTGAAGTTCTAAGCAACTCAGTGAGGCCTCATCTCTAAATACAAAATAGAGCTGGGGTGTGGCGCAATGGCTAAGCACCCCAGGGTTCAAACATTGGAACCTAATAATAATAATAAAGTCAATTACACCACAGAAGTGATAACTCTTTGAGTAGCTTAACCAAAGACCCTCATCAAGAGGAGATCTGGGGGCATTTAAAGGAGTATCAAAAGTCAGAGTCAAACACAAATTTTGTGCATCTCAATTAGACTCTAGAAATAACTAGCCAAACAGAAGTCAACCTAAATACCCATCAATAGAGAAACAGCTAAAACTTATGGTATATCCTTAGAGGGAATCCCATTCAGTCCATAAAAAGTGAGGGAGATCTATACAGATCTATACGTACCGGCCTAGAAATATGTGTGTACACATTAACAAAAAAAGGTAGGCTGTGGAACAATCAAAAACGAAAAGGGGGGGGGGGGGGGGGGGCTTATGGTATAAGGTGTTTATAGGTGTTTAAGATAACAGACTACCTACTCAGTGATCCGACCTACCCTCTCCTTTCCACACCCTGTGGTCTCCTTTCCACACTCCTACCCTCACATGTCAACCCAGCCCCTTTCCATTTCTCCAGATCCTCCCTGCCTTTTTCGTAAGGATTCTCAAAGCCTCTCGTTCACACCCTAGTATCCATCTGCTAGGGCGGAGGCAGGCTGCGGAAGACAGGCGCAGGCGCCTTGGCACCAAACGGAAGGCGGGGTCGGCGTGTTGGCCCCGCCCCCAGGGCGGAGCCCGAGAGCCTAGGGTCGGGATTGTGCGGCTCTTGGGATTCGTCAGCTCTAACAGCGGTTCTTGGTTGAGGTCGCCGTTTGCAGACGCTGGTGTTAAGATTGTTATACTTACCGCATTTATAGTGAGGCCGGCCAAGTGCGAGAGTTTACACCAGTTTTACTTTAAATAGGAAAGAGAATTAGCCAGCCCTTGTTCCCGAAGGGAGATGAGGAGTTCCCACCTTCCGCGTGTCCTTGTGTGAACTGAGTTTCATACATAACTCGACAAATTGATGGCCTGCACGCAGCTTCTTACGTAGTAATGATTGTAGCTAACTAGCTCTGGCTTTCAGTCGCTGTTTTACTTATGTTTGTATCAGTATCCTCATTTTACCGTTGAAGAAGCCAAAACACAGACGATTTTACCAATCACCCTGTGGCAGCGTCTGTATGAGAACCCCAGTATCTAGCCTAGTATCCAATACCATCAATCAATGCGTTCTGCTGCCTTTCATAAAGAAAGCAGGCATATGGCAAAATCAGTCAGCAGCAGTTCAAGAGGCAATTTATCTAAGCTTTCTTTATTCTTTTATGTCAATTCTGGAAAACATGGGAGAGAGTTGCTCAGAGAATTGGAAAGTTGGAGGAGGTAGATTAGCTAAATACTTAATTTTTTTTTTAATTTGTGGTGATATCCACATAATATATTAACCATTTTAAAGCAAACAATTCAGTGACATTTAGCACACTGGCAATGTGGCACAACCACCAACTCTTAATTAGCGCTAAAACATTCCCATTACCCAAGTAATCAATCATTCACACTCCACTCCTAGGCCCTGGCAACCACCAATCTGTGTCATATCTCTATGGCTCCATCTATTCTGGATATTTCATATAAATGGAATCATACTATAGTAAGCCTTTTATGTCTGACTTTTTTCATTTAGCATAATGTTTTTAAGGTTCCCCTATATCTTGTATTATCTTTTTAATGGCCAAAATCCCATTGTACATATATATAAACCACAATTTTTTACCCAATCATCTGTTGATGAACATTTGGACTGTTTTTTTATTTGTTTGTTTTTTTGTGGGGGGGGGGGGGGTTACTGAGATTGAGCATAGGGAAGCTTTTCCACTGAGCTATTTTATTTTATTTTAAAATTGGGTCTCACTAAGTTGGTTAGGGCCTTGCTAAATTACTGAGTCTGGCCTCAAATTTCTGATCCTCCTGCCCCAACCTCTCAAGTCTCTGGGGATTACAGACATTCACCACCACCAGTGGCATATGTTTCCACTTTTGTATTGTAAGCAGTACTGCTATCAACATGTGTGCACATGTACTTGTTTGAGTGCCTGTTTTAGTCAGCTTTTCATCACTTGAGTACCTGTTTCCAATTCTTTTGAGTAAATATATATGTATGTATTTATGTATAAATTATATATTATTTAAATATACATATTTAAATAAAAATTATGTGTACATTATAATTTTTATATAATTATCATTTATATGTAAATTTATATATATATTGAGAGAAGAGTTGGAATGGGCCATGTGATAATTTCATGTTTAGCTTTTTTAAGAACTCCTATATCCTTTTGAAATGCTTCCTTAAGGCTATAATATTATTAATATTATAAATAATACTAAGTAAACATATTAAATATTGTGAATTCATTTCTCAGCCTCAGCACTGTTGAAGTTTGGGGTCAGAGAATTCTTTGTTGTAAAAGGCTGCCCTGTAGGAATTTTAGCAGCAATCCTGGTCTCTACCCAGTAGATGTCAGTAGCATCCTCTTATTTGTAATCAACAAACTGTGGAGATAACTGGGAAGCAAAACAGGCCCCCTGGAAACCACTGTTCTAATGGATTCCCTGTTAACCTGAAGCAAATGTGGCTGACACTAAGGAAGAATACTAAAAGTTAAGGGCCTTTAGAAGTTTGTGTACAGGAAGTGTTCTCTGCTTACTCTGTAATGATTTAAGGAACTTGCTGGTTTACAAATATGTGACAACCAGAAAAAAAAAAAAAACTTACCATTAAATATTCATGTATCTTTCATATACAAGTTTAATAATATAAACCCAGCTCACCCACTGAACTCCAAGAAATAGTTCCCCCAACCCCTGTCCTATGACACATACTAAATCATTTTTATAGCACACAGCATTGTACAATTTTTAAGGTGACAACAAGGAACAAGATTTTTTTTATATATATGGTAATTTTTTTCAAATAAAAACTGAAGATGGCAGGAGAAATTTCTTATTTGGTGCATCCAAATAATGGAAAGATGAATGCTAATTTCATTATTGAGATATAGTGAACCAAAATGAATCTTTTACACTTACTATTATAGATATTAGTGAGTTCTTTATAGAATGGGAAACCTGAGTGCAAGCCTTCACCATCTGTTAAGATCAAAACTGTTATGGAAATGGACCAATCAGCCTTAGGCACAGATGGCATTGGTGTAGAGTTCACAGCAGTTAGCAAGGGCTGAAGCACTGAACTCCGTGTCTTCCCAGGGACCGGAAAAAGAAGGTGGGTTGGTGCCATTCAGAGAAGTACTAAAATGAAAAGCCAGAGAGATAAAAAACAAGGCAACAAAAGGTGTCAAGTTTTACAAGCAGCTAAAAATGTTACCCCAAATATCACAAAAGCAGAAACTTACAAATGTATCCATCAGTCATAACTAAATAAATTGAATCAAATTAAATTTGTCTTCTCATTAATACTAGAGATAATACCAGCAAGGAACCCTGTACAATGTCTCTGCTCCTGTGTCCAATTCCTAACCATAGTCCATCTAGAAATTTCCTTGCCAGGTATCTGAGGCAAAATTTATGCCTAGCAATGATCTAGAATTAAATTTATCTAAAAAGTAAGGTGGTATCCCAAAGCCATTTTCTTCTTACAAAAGGAAAACAGATCAGACTAAATAAGTATAAATTAATTGGACAAAAACCTCATCTTTTTAGATTCTAGCTGCTAATGACGCTCAGTATGTGACTAGGAAATCCACTGTCATAAGAACACAGGGATCAAAAAAATTATGCCAGACCAATGATCTATCCAGCTTATAATTAATCTTTAATACTCATCAAAAGGGTTGGCTTTTTTTTTTTTTAGTACATTGGTTACCTTCTCTGCTGATAACCTCCAAGCAGGCAGGGTAACATTCATTAACTTGGTCTAATAATTTGTTAAGCAGCTGGCACCTGAACATCTACCTAAATAGTGAACAGGTCATTTAATGATAATTTCCAAGCCATCTCCAGCTCTGATTTCCCTCCTGAACCCCAGGTCCCAGGTGGCTTATGATAACTTTACATGGTGATCCCACAGGTACTTCCAAGTTAACAGAACCAAAATGGAAAGAGGCCATAATCTCTCCCCTTTACTCCCATTCTGGAACTGGTCCTCTTCCTTTCAGTAAATGACTGGCACTTGGGTCTCCTTTTCCACAGCAGAAAGCTACTTTCCTTTCTCTTCCTCACCTTACCCCTTCCTCCTGTCTAGCTGATGACCAATCCTGTTGATTCTACTTGGTCTCACGCATTTCCATTCTTAAAACCACTTAGGATCAGCTCCTACCATCTCTCACTAGAACCTATTATAATAGTATGTTTATTGGTTTCCCTGATACTCAAATGGCTACCAGAAAGATCTTTTGAAGAGCATACCTGAACATGTCAGTGTTCAGAATTCTTTGGATCAAAACTAAATTCCTCAGCATTTTTGGTTTGTTTGGTACCAGGGATTGAACTCAGGGGCACTTAACCACTGAGCCACATGCTCAGCCCTTTTTTATATTTTATTAAGAAAGAGGGTCTCACTGCATTGCTTAGAGCCTGACTAAGTTGCTGAGGCTGGCTTTGAATTTGTGATCCTCCTGCCTCAGCCTCCCAAGCTGCTGGGAGGCATGCAAGCCCAGCAATTCCTTAGCATTTCATCCAAGGCTGTCTTTTAGACTTCTCTCCCAGAACTCTCCTCACTCACCCATAATCACCACGGGTACATACACCTTTGGCTTTGACACATTCTAATTCCTCAAATTATTCCTTTTAACTACACTTTTATATATCATACTAGAGAGACAAATACCACAAGATCTGCAGAAACATTCCAATCTGAAGTAAAAAAAGTCTAGTCTCACATTAACAAAAAAAAATTAAAAAGTACTGCTATAAAATATTAAAGAGTATTAATTATAAAACCTTTTTTGTGTGTCTCAAAACTAGTTCTTTTACCTTAAATTATATATTATCTTCTTTCCATCTAGAATTTGGTAAATATGTTCATTTTTACACAATGTGAACACATCATGATTTATAAATTCAACTTTGTCCTTTCTCAGTTGTCTCATTTCTATCTGAAGAAGCCCACGATCTTTTAGCCACTTAGGACTATAGCTAAATCTTGACCTGTAACATATCTATATTCCAACCACAATCAATATAGTCACTTACCAAAGAAAACACCCTTTTACTTCTTCCCTTACCCCTCTATCCTCAGTACCCACCAATATAGATAGAAACTGTCACCTGGGCATAGTAGGGCTAATGCCAAAGCTGCACTTCAGAGAAAAAAGCACAAATCTAGGCCATCACCAATGCCCATGTCTCCTCTCATTCACTCAGTCCACTCAGTCCACAGGACTACCCTCAAGACCTTACTCCCACCCCCAGAAACTGCCTTCAATGAGCAGGGGTCCTGATGCTCACCTCTGAAAGAGCTCTCTGCAGCACACATAGGTCTCATAGGTTCTATTGGTGAAACTTGTGTTTAGGAAGGAAACACAGTCAGCTTCAGCTCCCCTGGGGACATAGAGGATTCCTGGATAAACAAGACAGAGATATTAAGGCAGAGATTCGACACATGCTCATCGAGGCTTTTTATTCTTTGCTTATAGACTAGGAGCCCTATACATTAGGTGCCTTTTCTATGCATCTGTGGAATGAATGGTTAGATCAATATTCTGAGAGATATGTTGTCTTTTGCTAGAAGTGATGTCTTCCAAGAGACCAGTCTGAGGCTTACCTGCCATACAGGCACTGATAAAGGACACGCAGGCCCCTGTGAAAAGGGCCCTAATCACAATCTTGGACAGGTCACTCTTCCGATGGGGTATAATTGATGCTGTGGACAAAACAACATGGTAATTAGCTATATGCCAGGAGCCCCCACTGGGAAGAATGCAGAGGAGAAAAACGCAGCAGGTGACTAGCTTCCTTACCACCAACCACCTATGGCTGACCAGAGAAGTGTCCATATACACTATCCTATGGGATCCCTAACTCAGACTTCAGTGATTCTGTGAACACACCCAAGATATATCTGAATCAAGCAAGGCTTTGGATTATTTCAAATGGGTGCAAATGCCTGGTGCTTCCCAGTTGAGGTCTGCACTCTTAAGCCTGCACCAGAATTAGAAGGACCATTTTGAGCCAGAGGACTAAGGAGGACAACATTTACCTGAGCCACACAGTCCATATCCCACTACTAGATGTCCTTCTCATAATCAAATAGTAATCAGGCATCATAACAATGATATAGACAGGGATTTAACAAAAGAGTCAAAATAAGGAGAAATTATTTTGCTTTCAATGTTCAATCAGCTACAAAATAAATAAGATGATTGCCAGAATGTTTGCCATTTTTTAAAAATGGGCACACAGGACTGTTTTTTTTTTTTTTTCTTATACTCCATTTCTTCTAAGATCCTTTTCTAACTTGAACCTTCCCAAACTCTTGAGATCTGCTAATAATTCCCCTGCCCCAGCCCTCCAAGACCATTCCACCTTCTTCAACCATCACCCACATTCAGCAATACCCATAGCAACCTCAATAGATCTGTTTCTGCTTCAAATACTCACTCCTCCCACACCTGGTGACTTTCAGCCTTCAATAGAACACTTTACAACACTTGCCTTTACTATTTATATGTCTTAAGGTATCTAATTTGTCTTTTTGATTCCTTGTGCAAATCCTGCTTCCGTGAAGACAACTAGTGAGCAGCCTAATTCAGAAAGTACCCTAACTATTGACTAAAAAGCAATGTATCTTACTTACATATGCACTGTGCCCATTTAACAGCAAAATAGAAATAATATCATTGTAATATTTTCTCCATGGGGAACATAAAAAATAACAATCACTTTTGGGGCCCCTGATAGGAAAAAAGCAAGTAAAATTCAGTTTTAAAGTTTGTAAAGGACTGTATGCAGAGCCAGGTAGCAATATTGATTTAGTTTTAAGTTAACTGCAGCCCAAGAAGAACCATTTCACATCAGCTTCTCTATCTAGTCTCAACTTATTCTGAGTACCAGGAACTGCCCACTACAAAAGTTGGGGTCTGGCTGGCTGAGTGGGGAGTTGGAGGACAACTCACTTAAGCCTCCCAGTGTTATTCCTATGGAACTAAGATTGGCAAATCCGCAGAGTGAATATGTTGTAATGATCTCACCTCTCACCTAGGAAAAACAAACAGAAATAAGTAGATAAATTCAGTCCCACATGTGCATTCATACAATCATGATGGAAGTTCCAGGGTACTTACAGCCTTAAGTCTTTCCCATACTGTTCTAAGGGAGGTACAAAGGATGCTTAGAAAATAACCGCTCCTTTTGCCAGGTATGGTGGTACATATCTATAATCCCCCCTATTTGGAAGGCTAAGGCAGGAGGATCACAGACCGAGGACAACTTAGGCCACTTAGTGAGACCCTATTGACCCTGTTTCAAAACAAAAAGGACTAGGAGTATAGCTCAGTGTGTGTGGCCCTGAGGTGAAATCTCCAGTACCAAAAAAATAAAATTGTCTTCCCTGGATTGTCCTCACTGTAAAGACCCATGGATTACATTATAGAAAGAAGTTTGGTCAAAGTGTCGGGGAGAAATAGCACACCAATCTCAGAATAAGTTGTTCAGGTACTGAAGATGAGGCTTCTAAGCACAAGTTCTGCTTGCTTTGTGGGTAGGCCTGTGACTGTGGAAAGACATGTTTGTCTGAAACAAAATTTTTTAGTATCTTGCTATCTACCCTCAGACAGCCATGGCTGAAACCTCACACTACTTTTCTGGATTGTCACTTACAGAAATCCACTGTTTCTCACCCTCGATCCACTCTTCCACTCCAGAGAGACGTTTGTTCTTGTATTGAGACAATTGCTGATAGGCCACAAACTCATTTATGAAAAACTTGATTCCTACTATCTCGGCAACTATTGGACAGTCTGCCCACTCTATACCCATCATGAAAACCATGGGCCTCAGGACATAGGAGCAGATGACCTGAGTGAAAGACAGACAACCCAGGAAAAAAACAAATAACAAAGGTTAGACACCAAGGGCCTTTTCTGGGGCCTTGGCCCAACTCTCCCCTCCCCCATTCATGCTCTTAGCTTACTATGGGCCAGGATGATGTGCCCAGTTCAAGCACTATTTAATGACAGAGTGACAGCCCAACAAGGATAATCCTTTACCTGGAAAGTGAGCCCGTGAATGTCCACCATTTCCCCCAGCCAGGAGAGGACAGCATTGATGAAGGCCAATACCGCTAAAAAGGCAATCAGGTTGGCTGCTACATTAGCAACAAGGCCTATGGCATCTGTGGCTCCACTGCTGGCAGCTTCCAGGATATTCCTCTCCTTCCTGTGCTCATTGGGCATATGGGAAGAATATGGTGTCTAGAGCAGTCTCAGGCCCTCAGAGAAGAGAAATCCCACTGTCCCTACAGTGCAGGATGTGGGTACAAGACCAATGTGACACAAAGTGATGGAGTTCCTTAGGGGCCCTATTAGTGGAAATGACTCTGAAGCAGTATATAATGATGTAATGGCCATGAAACTGCACTGAAGCAGACAACAAATGGTACACTGGCATGCAAAAGCTAGCGGCAAATAGGAGGGTTAAACCAAAGAAGAAAAATCAACATGACTAGCTAGAGGCAGAGATAGGCAAGAGCCAGGATGGAATCACATTCTTCCTCTCAGGGAGACTTGAAATCTCTGCCACCAAAGGGCCACTCTTGACTCTCCATATACCTGACCATCTATCTCCCAAATTATATGCCTTCATGGACTCACCCATGAGGCAGTTTCATCCCCTCCACACTCTTGAACTTGGACTCTTCCACTTCTGGATATACCAGCTTGGACAAGGCAAGAGCACAAGGGGCGGCCATCACAGAGGCGGAAATCAAGGATGACGCATCAATCTGTAAATTCAGACCCAGGATCAGGGTCTCGGCAGAACCCAGCTGGTTCTCACCCAGGAGAGATCCCATGGACCATGCCTACCCCAAAGGATATGAAGGCTCCCAACACAGAGCCCGAAATGGTGGCAAACCCTCCAGTCATCATTGTGTGGATTTCAGAGAGGGTCATGTCTGCGAGGTAGGGACGGACGAGCAGAGGTGCCTCTGTCTACAAACAAGGAGAAGACATTCAGATGCTAAGAGGGTGTGACTCCACTAGAGTGCCCATCCCAGCATAGGGACTGGACCCACTAGACACACATCTCTCAGTGTGAGAGCTGTTCAGTGAGACACAGCCCCTCTGAGGGGGGTCTCTGAGCTTTGCCTCTATCCCTCCCAACATCTGCCTCACTCCCCTCAACACCTAATCTGGTCCTGGCTGGCATTGTTCTTTCTCATTTCCACACATGTGTGTCTCATCTATTCATATTTTAATATGTTATAGAAAAGAAATGGCATATTTCCTTTGTTATGTTCTCAATTTCTAAAGCCATGTACTTCCTGAATGAACTTATGGAATATAGAGCACTTTCTGAGTCTTAACACTAAATGCTGACAAAGTATTCATTGAATGAATTGCAAGTAAATGATCTAAGCCAACTCTTTTGAAAGAGTCAAAAGAAATGATATTTATGAAATGTAAAGGTGCAACTATGGAAACTAAATCTAGCATCAACCTTGATTTAATGAGTACCAACCATGTGACTAGTGCTATACTAGATGCTAAGGATATTAATATAAATAAGTTCCTACTTCCATAGTCTAGCATGGAAAAACTAAGTTGATTATGGATGATTTTAGCAAAACATGGAGGGCTAGTTCAGAAATATCCAGAAGTACTCTGAGAACATTTCTGAAGCAGGTAATCAGTCTAAGCATTTAGAGAGCAAGACCTCAATTCTAACTCCTTGTCAATTTGACAAGCCATTGTCCTTAACAATGAGCTGATAGGCAAAAACATACATTGAGTCTATATTCCACACAGATAAATGTACCAAACAACTGTTATAAGGAAGAGGCTTAGTGTTAGCCCTGGGCAAGACAAGCTTTTGTCTCTTTAGAGACCCTGGAAAATAAAGGTCATAGGGAGTGACGTGGAAAAAAAAAAAACATAGATCAAATACCCTTTATTGTTTCTGAAGAGGGATAAGATTTGGACTATGACATTCCTCTAAATTCCTATGTAAAAAGTTGGATCATTCAGATTAAGTATGCCCAAGTAAATATTAGTAGACACTGAAGAGTGAAAACAACGAGCTGGGTCCTCTTTGAGCTCCTGAGATTTCTTTCATCAGGAATTGGGTGCCCCTCACAGTCTTCATTTATTTGACTTTTCATAAGAAAAGCATACTTCTGTGAACCTGATTTCTCCAAAGTTCTCAGTTCTCGTGAGAAAAGAAGACCACAAGTCCTCAGGATACTTACCATCCCCACAAAGATGTTTCCTGCCACAACCAGGGTCTCTGTAGAGGTGGTTCTCATGGTGAACTGCAAAAACCAGGCGATCTAAAAGCATAGAGACCTAAACCATCAGTATTAGCAGGAATCTTGGAGAATGACTAGTAAAACCCTCCTTCTCCACTCTACTGATAAGGCAACTGAGGCCTAGAGAAGTTACAAACAGCCTTGACCAGAACTCAGGACTCTTGGCCTTTAGAACAAGTACATTAAAACTCAGTATGAAAGAGTGATCCAGCCCAACTTCGCTCCCTGCTCTGCCCCCCAAGACTACCTGAGGCTTGCTATAGTTTACATCTAGAATATTCTCCAAAGGCCTATATGTTAAAGGCTTGGTCACCAGCCAGTGGCACTACTAGAAGGTGACAGAATCTTTAAGAGGTGGGGCCTAGTGGGAAGAAGTTAAACACTGGGGATGTGCCCTTAAAAGGGATATTGGAACCCTTGTTCCTTCCTCTTTCTCTCTTTGCTCCTTGGCTACCATGAGGTGAGAAGCTTTGCTTCACTAGATGTTCCTGGTCATAGGATCTACCTCATCACAGGTCCAAAAACAATGGAGTCAAACTACCATGGCCTGAAACTCCTGAAACTGAACCAAAATAACCTTTCCTTGTTTTAAGTTGATTTTCTCAGATATTTTGTCATAGTGATATAAATTTAACACACCATTTGATATCCACCATGCTTGGGATGATTTAACTTTTCACATTAATTCAAACACTCTACATCCTACATATAAACATTATTCCAAAGTGTCATCTTCCATGGCCTTGACAGATCCCAACATAAAGACCCATCTCCCAGCCAGAGGAGGAAAACAACTCACCTTCTGAACTACCCATTGCACAAGGCCCAGATAGTAGAGAATGGACGTCATACATCCAAAGAAAAGGATGACTGGTAAGGACTGTAATGGAGAGTGGTGGACAGCTGGTGAGATATTACATTGTATGTGCTAAGTATACCATAAATAAACTGTGTTTCAGGCCTCTAAATTAAACTCTTGAATTCCAAGCACATCTGATACAGTGTAGTCTAGGAAAAAATATTCAAAATGTATTACAAATCTACTAGCCCATCTGTACTACATCTCAAGGAGATATTTTCTAAACCCCCCCCCCTCCTCATTTCATCCACTTTCAGGATGGTAATGATCAAAAGGCAATAAATGGATGCTGTTTCCTTTTGATGGTATTAAACCATCCTCTTAGGATCCAATCAGTGTGCAGCCTGGCTGATCTCCTGGACATACATTATCATCTTCTGCTTTACTTCCCAACCCCTCCACTATCATTCCTGACCATAAAATAGATCCAACCTGAAAAGCAAAAATATCTTGGATCAGCGTATCTCCAAAGACAAAACTGGAGCCAGCCACAGTGTAGTTCAGGAAAATCTGAAAGGGAAAAAAATACAAGAACAAAGTGAATCCAGGTAGGACACAGGCAGAGAGATAGAATCCGCCCCCATGGATGATTAGGACCTACTGCTGCTACTGAGCCTGGCTCCCTTTGATGGCCTGTGAGCAGGCTGTGTCCCCAGCAGGTAGCTTCTCTTCCCTCACATTCTTAGCTGTACCCCAGGATTCTCTCTCCTTTCCCAATCAAATCTCCCACCACCATTATTAACTAGGCACAGCCTTCCTTCCCATACTTCCCTCAAATCTCCTTTCTCTAGGCTTCTAAAAGAACTAAGCCCTTACATGTAATTTCCCATACCCGTATTTGATCTCCCAGCCATTGAAATGCAATAAATCCAGGATAAGTTCTGATGACCACGATCCCAAAAACAAACTGAAGACCCAGGCCCCAAAACACTGTCCTCCAAGACACCTGGAATCAATCATAAAATTATTACAATGTGAGTTCTAGAGCCTGCTATCCATTGCCTGGTTGCAGTTTTAAAATGGACACATGAACTCCAGGTAGAACTAACCCAGGATGTCAATAGTAAATCTGGAGTAAATTTGCACAGAGAGGAGGGGGATAGTAAGGAGAAATGGTACAGTAATGTCAAGAGCCACATGTCTCCATATGATTTTCTAGAAGTTAGAGGACACTTACAATAAAATAAATTTTATAAACAAATACTTCAGCACAATTCTCCATTATATTCTATTTTTTCTTTCCTCACTTATTTTTTTTAATTCTTACTTTTTTTTATTCTTACTTTTTTTATTCTTGCTGGCCTAGAACCACAAAATGTACATTAAGACTCAGTAACATATCACAACCTACAGTTTGAAAAATAAGTGGCCTAAAACCTTTGAGATCTTTAAAACTTCTCTTTGGAATAAAACTGTCAAAGAGGCAAATTCTACAGGTTGTTATAAACTTAGTTCTATGTCATTGTAATGAACACTTGATTCTTTGTAATTAGTACTTGGCCCCTGTTCTGTGCCAAAATACCCAAAACTTACCACACTATGGTGTTTGGAGCAGACAAAGAGGATGAGGATAAACATGCAGATTCCTGCAAAGGATATCAGCTGCTCTGGCCTTTGAGCTGTGTCTAGAACCAGCCATAGGATAAGTCCAACCACACAGGCTCCTCTGAACACCCTAAAGAAGGAATGCTAAGACTGTGTCATCCACTGAGTGAATGAATAACAATTGACTTTACCTCTGAAAAACAGAAGATAACCCCAAGGAAAAGTGAAATAATTCAATAGTTCATTGTTGACTGGACACAGAGATATACTAGGAGAATCATTCATCTGGCAATTCACTAACTTCCACCTCTTTCCCCACAACTTACTCACAGAATGAAGTTTCTAACTAGAGGACATAAATCCTATGACTTCCCTTTCCTCAAGTTTCTATATCAATAACATATGATACAAAAATGCATTCTCAAAGACTGTTCCAATGAATGACCCAAATATTCAAAACCAAAGGAGGAAAATGATGTATTAACCCCTACCATGGGTCTTCACCCAGTTTCTAACCAGTCCAAGGGTAAAAGTAAAGGCTTAGTCACAAATCAACTACTTCTGGTTTTGTGGTATTTCACGTACCAAACACATTTGATTAATACACAGACTGGTTACCTCATGTCTGAGTGTTAGAATCCTTCAAGTTCAAAGGAAAAGGATCAGAAGGGAGATCATAGATGAAAACAGAACAAAAAGAGCACACTGTTCAACTGAGATATTATAATTTCAGGGCTGAAATTCAGATCTCTTCTCACTGTAAACCCATTTCACTTCAAGTGCATAAAATCTGGCTTCCAGAATCCATCTTGCTAATAAATAAGGTCATTTTAGCTCTATCCTTCCAGTGTCAAATAAATCAATGATTCAAAATTTAGATGGTAGTCCGGTGTAGTTTCTCCAAATCGTCACTGTTGCAAACATCCTTAACACCTATTTTCTCTGAATCCATTGGAAAATAGGAACAAAGAGGAACTTTATAGAAAGTCCAGAAGTTATTCTCTCACTCCTGGCCTGTAATCAAAGTATAATGCATGTCATAGCTAGATGAACTACATCTGCCGTGGAATTCAGTTCTGTATACCTGAACACTAAGTTTGTTCCTTAAACTATAAAGAGTTGTAAAGGATACCAGTGTGTGACAGAAGTCTAGAAGGTGAGGGAAGAAAGGCTTTAATGTATCAGAGAACTAGGGGAGATGACCACAAACTCAACTGGATAGTTTTCTGAAGCTGCAAGCCTCTTTGTTCTGATTACTTCATTGAAGAGGAACATGTTTCTTCTCATTTCTGACATAGGCCCTGATGAGAAACAGACTGAAAATCTTCTCTGGAACTGAACCCCTCCTGGGTTCACCTAGCAATATAGAGACCCAAGGCTACAAGAAACCCGACTAAGGTCCAGTGCTCAGAGGCCTGTTGCTATATGTCCTCTGCACTTTGCTTTTGTATAGTATAGAAGAAGATCTGAGAGACCACTCAGGGACTGTCAGAGGAAGGAGAGGAAGGAGAGGAAGAAGAGGAAGAAGAGGAGGGAGAGGAGGGGGGGAGGAGGAGGAGGAGGAGGAGGAGGAAGAGGAGGAGGAGGGGAAGGAGACTTGTGCTTGGGATAAGTTGTGGGACCAAGGATATTGAGATTCACATCTTACCATTTCATCCAAAATCTCAGGCGTGAGTTTTTAAAGGGTTTCAGACATCTCATTAATTTTTCACCAAATAATTTTTTCAGAAAGTTGTGAACCAGGACAAAGATCACTAAACAGGTAAGAACAAACAAGGCCAGTGCCCTCTGGAAATCCAGGATGCAAGCTGCTAAGAAGTAGGCAGCATAAGCTAAAAAGAGAAAGTACAGAGTAAAGGTCAATGAAACAGAGCTTCCTTGGGATAAAAGAAGCTCCAGTCATGAGTGTCTGGGACTCAGAGCAAAAAAGCCCCTCCAGAGACCACGCCACCCAGCCCTACCATAAAACTGTGCTCCACCCCTCAAGGTCTGAGTAGAGGCTAACTGTTTTCTTCTTGGGATTCCCAAGAACAATCCAGTTTATTTGAAGATCACCTATTTTCACTTGTCCCAAGAGAAATCTCACGCCCCTTTACTTTATCTGATAAAGTCTCACCATATTCCCTTGGAGTGTGTTTCATCAGCATCCACTCCTCAAGCCAGTTGTCTCTTTTTTGTGTGTGTGGAGGAGGTTTTAGGGGTGCCTAACCACTCAGCCAAATCCTCAGTTCTTTTATTTTTTTACTCTGAGACAGTCTCACTAAATTGCTTAGGGCCTTGCCAAGTTGCTGAGGCTGGTCTTGAACTTACAATCCTCCTACCTCAGCCTCCCAAGTGACTGGGACTATAGGCATGTGCCACCGCACCCAGCATCAGTCACCTCTTTTTGAAACTTAATTACCCTAGTCATATTAAAATGTTTAAAGGCCAAACTTTCCTCTTGAGCAAAATAATGTCAACAGGGGGCTGGAAATGTAGCTCAGTGGTATAGCACTTGCCTAGCACATGGTAGACCCTGAGTTTGATCCCCAATATCGCAAAAAATAAACAAATAAAAATTTTAAAAATGTGTAAACAAGGCTACTACTAGGAAATACAACCATATGGCCCTCACCCCATGGCTCTCTGACTCACCTCAGAATATAATTTTTGTTTTCACTATCCCAGCTGCCTTTGACATCAAAGCCCCATACATCACTGACAGTACATTCTAAACAAAGGTTTACTGTCTTTTTAAAACATATTATATGATTGATTTTACTTGTAAACCAACAAATAAGAAATGTCTATTATAGGTTTCTCTTGCAAAGACTACAAGAAATTGTGTTCTCCATCAAATCAAGACATAAAAAAGAGATAAGCTCATATTCTCTGAAATATTTTAAGTCTGTCAAATAATACAGTTTTGAAAATAACTTATTCTCAGATTTTACTTTTTCCTTTAGGTGCAATTCAATAAATTATGGTTCACCTACAAGTAGTTAAGAGCTGTACATCAAAGAGCCTTTAGGGCAGTTTGTGAGTCAAATTGCTTTCCACCTAGTAATCATCTTGACACAGGTAACATTCCTCAAATGACTGTGTTTCTCGCTTCCATGAATTCTCATTATCTCACCCAAACACAACAGGCCCAACAGGATCTTCTTGAACAAGTTGGCATGTCTTCTGCAGAAACTTCTTGCCTTGATAAAAGTCTGTACATTCTTCCTGATGAGAACACAAAAGTTAAGATGCAAGAATTATTACAGCCCATTTGTGCTGCTTTTCAACACTACCTGGCCCAAGGCAGAATTTGCTCTTACTCAATGAAGAAAGATGATTCATCTAGGAGGAAGTGAATGTCCCAGTCATGCCCAAAAGCCAGTGTGCCAGGTCAGAATGACCCTACCTCAGCCTAAACAAGCAATGTCCTTAAATAGTTTCTTACCACATAAGTGGATAGTGGTCATATGGGATCTACTCTCTCCTTGTTCCCAAAAGCTCAGCTTCTAAATTCCCAAGAGGGCCTGTTCTTTCTAGAAACAATTTGGCTATCCCTCTTTAGGAGCCACACAAACCCATAAACTTTAATAGTCAGTCAGGTGTATATTGACAGGAAGAAAAATACCACCAACTTCAAGAATCTGCACAGGCAGGCCTCAGAGATGCCCAGGAAGTAGGGCTATTCAAGTTGGATTTAACCAATATTTGTACAGTACTTTCCATGAGCTTGGGCTCTAAGAACTTTGCAAATACTAACTCATTACTGTCTCCTAAGAACCCTGCAAGTAGTTATAATTATCCTTCCCTTTTTTACAGATGTGGAAATTGAAAAACAGAGACATTAAAATAACTTTCCCAAAGTCACAAAGATTGTAAGAAACCAAGATATAATCTAAACTTTGGCAGCTTGCCTTCTGAATCTGAGCTTCTAACCATCACCCCTTGCTTACTTTACCTAGACTCCAGACTCACCTGTCTGCCACTCATAAGTATCCTCAGCACATGCAGCCATGTGAGCAAAAAGATCTGATTTACAAGGTCTTGGAAGCTCCAAAGAAGGAGAGCCCAGCAAGAAGGTCCCAGTCTGGCCATCATGCTGAAGCAGACTAGCTTAGCCAGGGCTGGGACTAGCCACCAATCTCTGATGCCCTGGGGTCTTGGCCCACAGAGCATTAGAAACTTTCCCTACTGTTGTCTTGCCCATTTAACAGACTCCCTGTTCCCCATGTACAGTCTTATTTGGGGGGATTGAAGCTGCCACACCTACATCCTCAGCCCCTAGAGCCTTCCTTTTCATTCCTCTCTCTACACACTCCTAATGTCTCCTTTCTTCAGATAACCCAAATCTGTCTGCTGGGCAGAGTGTGGATTATCAGATAAAGGGAAGCTGAGGAAGGAGGAAAACTTATCTTTATCACTGTCTGACCAATTCAGGAGGATATTTAGGATCTCAAGAATTCTGCTGCTTTGCCATGCCCAGTAGAGAAAGTAGTGAGTGAAAAGATTTGCTTAGATAAACCAGTGTCCCTGAAGACAGCATTATCTTTTGGAACATTATTCACAGAGTATACCAAGCAAAGAGTTTAATTGCAATCCTAGATTTCCTGTGTGCCAGGTCTTTGGTTTGCCCCTCTAGATCCATGCTGCGCTTGCTGTCTGCCCTGGAAGTCAGACCCATGTGGACTGCACCAAAGGACACCCAGGCCCTCTGGCTTACCAAGTTGGGTTCAGCCAGTGGGACCCCAGAGGAAACCAGAGCAGGCAAAGATTGACGCCAGTGTATTGTAATCTGACTCTCCTGCCAGGGTCTTTTGAATCTTGTCTCTTCAGGCCTAGGAATAATGAGTGTTCACAGCTTCAAACTTTAATTCCTTATACTGTCCTTTCTTATGAATCCACTACTCTTCATGTACATCATTGTTACAGCCTCTTTGTGAATAAACCCTCCTCTAATTATCCTAATTTAAGTATACCATCTGTTTCCTTTTGGGACCCAAATTGAAACACCAGGTGAAGCTGGCTTAAAATTATACCCAATAAATGCCAGCTGAATGAGGACACTGCAGAAAAAGAAGGAGCATGTACCAGTCCCAGAGTAGATATAGATCACAGGATTAGAAAAGAATTCTACCATCACCTCCTGACCACAAACCCACCATTTCCCGGGAACCAGAGTTCAGTGGGTATTTCAAGAAATCAATTAGGAATACTTATCTGTGCAAAACTCATTAACAGGATCCTAAAATATCAGGTTAGAATTGGGCCTCTGGTTTAAAAAAGAAAAGGCATAAATGAGAGGTGTTTCAAAGGAAGAAGAGAAACGAAGCTTTCTCACCTCCTTTAAGCCAATTGAGAAGCAGTGCATACAGGCATATGAGCAGGTGTCCGTGGCCCTGGTATCCCTAGTGGCCCGGGCTCTTGTTAATACCACTAGGCTTTTTACTTTACATATTGGTATTACTTGAGCATTAATATCTGTGCTATATTGGGAAACTGAATTGAAAAGAAATCTGAGAGATGGCAAAACTTGATGTCTTGCCCCTACCCTGTTAGAAAGTACATACCCACTGATAGGTTTTGCAGGTGTGTGGGAGGCTTTCCAGGTATGGACTGTTGACAACCCTCTCAGGTAAATGTTTACTGCCTGCAGCCCTGAGTGACAATGGGAAACAGAGTAGATAAAAGCAATGGGAAGCACTACCTGCACATGGCGTTGGTGGGTACCATGGGTCAGGCCTAGCAGCAAGAGTGTTTGTGCATTTTCACAATGACCCAGTCCAAAAGGCATGGAAACTCTCCCATCTAAGGGAGAGAGAGCTATGGGAGCTGCCAGGGTTTGTGGTACTTTTCTTTTGCCAGTCAGAGTGGAAAGCTTGGGATAGCCTTCAGAAAATACAGCTCCAGTGACTGTTGACAGTGTGGCCCTGGGTATTTGCTTCTCTATCTTGAATTAAGAACTAAAAGAAAGGAGGAAATGAGTCAGCCCAGAACCAAAAAGCAGTATGAGTAAGGATGAAGACCTCCAGGCATTAACCAGAATATTTTTTTTCTTTGAAGGGTCAAAGGTTTTATTTTGATGGCATGAGAAGACTTGGTCATTTGGGTACTCTACTGAGTACCACTTGGCCAGATTCAAAGTTATGTATACAACTGGTTTTGAATTAGAGAAGAGTAGGTGGTGGTGTCTGGAGACTAGAGAGCAATTGCCAAAAGTATTCAAGAGAGAATGGCAGCTGAGTCTTAGCAAAGGGATGTTACTAGTCAAGATGGAAAGAAAAATAGGGGTTGGAAAGGAAGGAAAGGGGATATCAGTGGAAACCAGCAGACTTAAACTGGCAGAGGCAGAAGCTCTGTGCAGCTGGGAACAATTGATTCTAAGAGCCCACATTACAAGTAGAGTAAGAGGGGACCTTATACCAGAACTCAGCCAGGTGCTCCAATGTCAAGTTGGGGGTGGAGGTTGTCTTGGAAAAGAACTCCCCTCAACACAGCACCAGCCCCTGTCCATTTCAGATGACAGTGGACCATCTTCTCCACACTGATGTGGAGGCACAATGCCAAAGGTCCACAAAGACAGGAAGCATCTGCACGGTGGCCTTTCCTACTGGCCCTTCAACTCTTCCTTCCAGAACTCTTCTCTCTCTAAATTAGAGGTAGCAGTTGTCATGAGAGGTAGAGGACTCTTCCCAGAGAAGGTGCTCTCTTTCATGACTACTCCAATGACCTTTTCAGGACAGGCCCTTTAATTTAGTCCTGCTACAAGAAAACTTTCTCCAAGTTTGTCATTTGCTCCTAATTAAACATTCTTTTAATGATTTTACTCAGAAAGTAAGGATTAATACGCTCTAGCTTCTTTAACTGCTAATAGCAAGCTCAGGCCCTAATGAAAAAATATAACAGTAGGGGGCAGAGTTTCCAGTAAGGATGAGCTGCCTATAATTGGAAACTTGCATTGATAAGCAATATAGCCAGGTCCTGGACAGATTTCCAAATCTCTCATCCAGTAACTTATTTATTGGGGGTGGAGGCGTACCGGGAATTGAACTCAGGGACACTCGACCACTGAACCACATTCCCAGTCCTAGTTTGTATTTTATTTAGAGACAGGGTCTCCCTGAGTTGCTTAGCACCTCACTTTTGCTGAATTCACGATTCACCTGCCTCAACCTCCCGTGCAGTTGGGATCACAGGTGTGCACCATTGCACCCGGCTTCATCCAGTAACTTATACATCTTCCACCCACTGACCTATCTTGCCCATCCCTCTTTACCAGGCTTACTGCCTCTCAACCAGGAAGACGGAACAGTCACTTATATGACAGTCAGAAGAGCAGAAGGACGGTAGGCTTAATAAGAGCAGCTGGAGAGCTAAAGAGGAAGCCAAAAAGAGAAATGATCTCTAAGAAGAATGATGTTGAATATCAAGTAGCAGGACAAATGAGAAGATGCTAGATCTAGAATGAAGGTGACTGTTGCTTGTGAGAGCTGTTTCCCAGGAGAATGATTGAGGGAAAGGGGTGAAAGAATGAGTGTGAGCAGCTATGGACAACTTCACAAAGTCTTCTTTGTGAAGAGAAAAAGAACCAGATACTGTTTCAGCAGGAACTGCAAAACCTCATCATCTCTCTCTCCAAAACACCACAGGGTTATTACAAGTTTATAAACAAAGGAAATGACCCTGCCAGCAGGTGGCAGAGTTAGGATTTAAAACCCAGATCTGCAATTCACAATAGCTAAACTATGAAACCAACCTAGGTGCCCTTCAACAGATGAATGGAAAAAGAAAATGTGGTACATATACACAATATTACTCAGCCATAAAATTTTGAACTTCTGAATATTACTCAGCCATACAAAAAGTAGAATATTCCTCAGCCGTAAAAAAAAGAATGAGGGCTAGGGTTGTGGATCAGCACGTGTGGGGCCCCAGGTTCAATCCTCAGCACCACATAAAAAATAAGTGAATAAAATAAAGGTATTGTGTCCAACTACAACTAAAAAATAAATATTTTTTTAAAAAAAGAATAAAACATGCTAAGTGAAATAAGCCAGTCCCAAAAAAACAAAGGCCAAATTTTTTCTCTGATATGTGGATGCTAATTTCACAATAAGGCGAGGGTTGGGGAAGAACAGAAGTACTTTGTATTAAAAAAAGGGGAATGAAGGGAAGAGAGGGGGAATGGGAATAGGAAGGATAGTGGAATGAATCGGACATTACTAGCCTAT